GTGTCAGAGCGTACCACTTGCAATATAACTGTTATAACAACAAGTATCACCGTGCGCATGCAGGATTGGGTGGGTATTCCCTCCAGTGATAAGCATCTGTCTCGATGCTGGGGCCCTTCAGACTTCCATTTTGAAAATAACTGGGAAGATTGAAGACCCATCGTTAGTTAATTGCACGCATTTGTTCGATATAGCTAAATAAACCAAAAAAATGCACGAATACTACAAACCTAAGAAATAAAGCCAACGCCAACTTCTGGGAGCGAAAGAGGAAATAAGGAAATCTGACCTATAATACGAATGTGAGACGAGTACGAGGTCAAGCATACCAAGGACGATGGAGAGCGGAAGACCGTAGACGGTGCAAGCGACGGTGGCGCAGTCCTCGGGATGGGGTCCACTACGACATCGCCTTTCACACATAACAGCTGCAATCCATCGCTACCACCTTTTACCACCGTCTCCAATTCCACTATCCGCTTTCGCCCCGCCTACTGTACCTGCTGAGCTGCCAAAGCAAAGCAGGCGAATAAGGGCGGAAGATTGTCAACACCAGTGACACTAGCAAATGGCAGGCATGTCTTTCAAAGTTAGTTGGTGGCCCTTACTGGCGTAGCGAGAATCTAAGGGTATTATATCAAGAAGAAAATTATAAAAGACCCGATTTAACTAAAGTAATAATCCCACCCAGGTCTGAGAGAGGAATAAAATGGGGAGAACAAAATCAATTTCCCTTACCATGCTTATAATGTGGAGAATAGAAAGGAGTTCAATACCTTCGAGATCCTTATAAATTTCATTCTTTGTTGACAATGCCAAGCTAGTCCGTGAGAACTCAAAAATAAAGCCGTAGTTAGATTGTTTTCTTTAACACATACAACCTAAAATATTGTTCAAGGGCCAATTTCACCTTGAAAATCTACCGACATGTCTGGGAGGCTGAAGCATAATCCACTTGGTGATGAGTGGGTCGGTTATATCGACAGCTAAAAGGCAAGTCTTTTCCTTAATAACGTAACCAAATTATGTTTTCGCAAGATTTCACATCGAGTTATACTCAATGATGGGAAAACCAACGAGCAGGCGTAAACAAAATGACACCCACATATTAAGACCTAAAAAATAAAGAAGTACAGCAGTAAAACCATCATTTTAAAATCATTACGAGCTCTATGCGACAGGGTTTGTGAATAATTGTCTAAGGGTAGAAAATGAGCATAAGTTAGTTAACAGGGAAACGGATTACCCACAGAAGTTGACCCGAACTCAGGCGCGCTACCTGTGAGGGTGAAGGGCGAAATGATGCCACAGCAAAGACTTGTATTTAATGGAACACAAAGCCAATATCATTCTCTCCTCGATCTCGGGCATAAAAAGGTATACCACTTCCACACCACTTCTTCAAAAGCATATTTATACTTGTGATAACCGCATGTAGTTCAGACAAAGCAAATTCCTTTGCTGGAACAACGAATCATTGCTGGGTTTAAATTCCATTGAAAAGGTTAGCACGTAAGCACAGAAAACTGTCAATGGTTTGCAAACGTGCATCATTTCAGATAACTTCAGCCCGAAACTTGGCTCAAAGCGAGAGGGCTAAGTCGATAGGAAGGAGGCATTCGAGATGGAGCAGCATCAGCATTATGTACATAAACAGTGGTCTTACGTTACTGACACTCCGCAAACGTTGTATTATGCAGGAAAAATCAAGGTGACCAATGAAGGAATCAGAATAAAGAAAAATAAATATTTCAAGCAAAATTGTCTCGAGTCACCCTCTAAGCTTGAGCAGACCTCTGAAGAAATTGTTTTACACTTTTAG